GAGTTCCTCCCTATTTGTTAAAATCAAATCTAGAACAGCTTCCCCCTAGTAGCTTTTTCAACCTTCTGAAATAAAAAGTTGTCTGCAATGCAGTCCAAAAACTTATTGGATAGTCTGTACCCCCCTGTGTCATTTTCCCAACATCTATCTGGATAGTTGGAGTCCCCCATCACCACAAAATCTTGGGCTTTGGATGATTTTTAGTTGCTTAAAAAAAGCCTCCCCCCCCCCAGTTAAGTGGCCTGTAGTAGACTCCTAGCATAACATCATCCTTGTTGTTTTACCCCTTTTAGCCTAACCTAGAGACTCTCAACACTTCTGTCTCCTGTGTCCATCTCCACATCAATCCAAGTGTGTACATTTTTAATATGTATAAGACAACACCTCCTCTCTTTTCCCCCTGTCTATCCTTCCTGAGCAAGCTGTACCCATCCATACCAACATTCCAATCATGTGTATTATCCTACCAAATTTTGGTGATGCCAACAATGTCATAGTTGTATTTCCAATGCTGTCGTCATGGCAGCAGTTTGTGGGTGTTACAGGTTACTGCCTATGATACAAATCACAGGGGCATAGTTTTTTGGGGGGAAGTACAGGGGCACATTGCTCTCCTCCACAGAGGAGCAGCTTGGGGGGGCATGTGGGGTCATTTTCTGTGAGGGCCAAGCTGAGGGGGAGAGGAGTTCTAGCCATCCCATGCTGTGCTGCCTCCATCTGCACCCCCAGTGGCTCCCTATTGGTGCAGTAGGGCTGGGTGGGGAGTAGGTTGCAGCAGCTACTCCCAGGTTGCTACTTCTGCAGCTGGATGCTGCTTCCTGTATTCTAGTGCCTACCTGTTTCCTATACACATTAGGTTGCCAACCCTTCAGGATTGCCATGGACTCTCCAGGAATTCAAAATTAATTTTTCATTATAGATTGTCATGTGCTGAAACCTCTAGGAATATGTCTAAGCAAAATTGGCAAACCTACAACTGAGTGGCCATGGGGTGAGGGGGCAGGGCTGGGGGTATAGGCTGATGGGGGAAGAGAGGGGGCTAGGGGAGGCAGCTGCAGGAGCACAGGGAAGTACGGGTGCAGCCACATCACCGCAGCAGCCAGTGGCAGAGTGCTCATGTCACCGCAGCAGTAGGGTCTCTTCTCCCCCCCGGAACTGGCTTCAGCGTGCACGTGTGTGCCTGCGTACATGGGCACCCAGCCCGCGCCAGCAAACTGCGCCCATGAAATCACGGCGGCGAAGAGCTCAGGGGAGACGCGCAGGCCCTGTTTTCCCCTCGCTCCCGCCGTGACCCGGCGGCGGCTCCAAGCGCGGCCATGGAAAAGAGGCGGTGTCTAGCTCTAGGGCCGGGGAGTTTCGGGTCGCTTGTGTTAAGCGTCACAGGGAGCGGGCTGGGGCGATTGGCTGGACTGCGGGGGGTCACGCGCCGCGGTATCCCCGTCCGAAGCCATGTGGGCGAGGCTGGTGGGGACTCCCGAGCCGTGGCTGCTCCTCGCTGGCCCGAGAGTCCGCTGGTCGCTCGCCGCGCTAGCGCCCGGGGGCGGCCGCATGGAAGAGCCTGGCCCGGGGAGCCTCGAGGTGGGGGACGCGCCCCCTGCGGCCAAGAGACGGCGGCTGCTGGCCGGGGAGGAGAAGCGGCCGGGCCGCGGCGAGCGCTACGTGCCGCCCCCGAGGAAGCGCAACCCCGGCGTGAGCTTCAGCGAGACGCACTTCGCCGAGACCCACTACTACTTCGAGGGCGGGCTGCGCAAGGTGCGGCCCTACCACTTCGACTTCCAGACCTACTGCAAGGGCCGCTGGGTGGGCAAGAGCCTGCTGCACGTCTTCAGCACCGAGTTCCGCGCCCAGCCCATCGACTACTACCGGGCCGCGGCCAGCGCCGGCCGCCTGCGCCTCAACGAGCAGCCCGTACAGGACCTCGGCATCGTGCTCAAGGCAGGTCCCAGGCGCCCCCGCCCGCCTGTGCCAGACCACGGGTTCCCTTACCGCGGCTTGGCACCGGCGGGGGCTTATGTCTCGGGTGGGGGG